TATATTCATCATATAAGAAAATAACTAAATCAGTAACTGTAATACTTCCATACAAAGAGAGGGGACAGAAATGTCATAACAAGTATTTTAATTTTACTTAATTTACAGTTACTTAACTGATTTATAGAATCAACTGGTTTTATTTCTTAATTCTCTTCTTTCTTTTCTACATGTGCTTATATCACTTCTCAATAACAGGTGACATTAAACCATTCCAGCAAGAATTGCCTATGATGGCTATCATAATGCAATACTGTGCAAGTGAAAGTGGGACATACAAGATATACCTTAATTTCTTAAACCTAAAATGAGGATTTTAAGGTTTTTAACTATCAAAAAACTGACTGAAGTGGCACTGATTAAATGATCTTGAATAGCTATGCAGATTCAGATGAGGTGCATTGGCACCAAGTCTGAGAAGGTTCACCCTAAGAACTCTGCCAACAGGTCAGGGCACAGGTTCAGCTCAAGGCACTGCACTTTGTAGGGAGGGAGGAGAGAGAGGTTTTCTGCAATACAAACCATACAACTAGTACAAATGATGGGACAAAAACTATCTGTGCTTCAGAGTAAGCCTTCTTAGCTTCAAATTTGTGTACATGACAGAAAACAGGACTTTGGAGTTTTGGAGCTGTGCAACAACCTACAGACAAAACAAATAAAGATAAACAAGTAGCAATAGAAAAAAAAAAATTCTCCCTGAGAAATACCATGGAATACTTCACTAAAAATCCTATTAGGATACATAGTGTAGAAATATTCACATCACCTCCTGTTAGATAAGCAGAAGCTTTAGACGGACACACAGTGACAATCAACAGATTTCTGGAGAGTGACAGAGCTCCACTGTGATATAGGAGCTGGCAAGTTTTCCAGGTTTGGCAGACCACAAGAGAGGTTTTACCTTTGAGACCAGGGCTATATTACAGCAAAGTAACACGGAGTATCTTGTAAAATTTGGCTAATGTAATAAGCTGACAAATTATTATATTACAGGATCCAAACACGTAAAGGGATTTCCCTTTGCTGTTATCTAGTTTCAGCAGTCCCATGTGCTTGAACAATGGCATTCCTCGTTTATCTTATTTTTCATATTAATCTCTACACTATTAAGCATGAATAAGAAAGAAACAAAAGCAATGAGATTTGACACAAGGTCTTTCAATAGACATTAAGGTGTGCCACATTTGTATACAGCTTATTTCCAAGTAACTTTTCATACAGGTGAAATTTAAAAAGATAGAGCTGAAAGTATACAACCAAATGGTCTGGGCATTACTCTGATGTTTTTATTCCTTGAAAATTCAAATGATCCCTGCAGGCAATTGACAACTGCTAGATCTGTGGAATGTGCTCTTTGAACTGTACAAAAGCCTTCAGCCTTTCGTGCATTGCTGCAAACAAAAACTGCCAAGTGCAATTATTTCTCAAATTTAATGTTATGGAAGTGTTGCACCATTTTTTTCACAGCTCTGAAAACTGCAATAGAAAAAGAAAATTTACAGGAGTATTTCCCTACAGAAGTTATATATAGCATTAATCACCTTTTGTAAACAACTGACACAAATGAACCAGTCAAATCTCAGAGAGTGCCATTCTTTTTTGGTGCAACTACAACTATATTTCTATGGAAAGAATCACAGGAGGAAATGGAAGGAGTCCTCTAAAACAAACCACAAAACAAACCATGAATCATATCAGAAGCACCAAACTGTGCTGAGAGAATGACAAACCTTGAAAATTCATATTTCACCTCCCACTTTTTATTAACCTCCACTGCTGTATTTAGAGTTCCTACAAACATCCACATACTAAAAGTTAACTTGATAGATACAAGCACAGTGATCTAGATAATCTTGTTGGCATCTGTAGTTCTAGTAAGGACTGCCTTTGTTTTGAACACACATATATTCAACTTTCTGAACTGAAGGCAGATCAACCTTATTCACTGAATACAGACATACTAAGTAATAGGACTTTTATTATTGACTTTAGCTATATCTGAGATTCTTAAGGTAAGGATTACACATTAAGATGTAACCAACTGCTCTTAAATAAAAGTTTTCACATCTGAAATAAATGTTACCCAACCATTTATACACCCAAATTCAACATAGTCAGTTTTGCTTGGATTGCAGTTGGGTCTTGCTTTATAAAGCAAGCGATTTAGTTCCAGTGTAAACTTCATTACAATTCAGACATGAGGTGCAGTACTGTCTACACAACCAACTAATTCCCAAAGCACACCTAAATTCCTAGGTCTTGTCCAAGATCCCTTCCCCACACGCACACATTAAGTTAGCCACAATACCCTGTTTCAAAGCAGGAGAATGGACCTGCAAATAGCCAGATCCAAACTGTGAAACAGTCAAGATGCATGTACACTCCAAATGTAATCCTTAACTGATTGTATTGGGTCTGGTTGAGATGGAGCTCATTTCCCCATAGCAGCCCTCACAGTGCTGAGCTTTGGTAGCCAGAAGGGTGTTGATAACACACCGGTGTTTTGGCTGAGCACAGCACCAACACTGTAACATTCCCTCCTCAGTTGAGGGCAAGATCCGGGGAGGGGGCACAAGTAGGTCAGCTGACCCAAGCTGACCAAAGGGATATTACATATCATAGCTCAGATATAAGAACTAAGGCAAGGAGCAGCAAGGCAGGCATTCATTGTCTCCAATGGCTGCTTGCTGAGGAACTGTTACATCTGTTGAAGCCCTGCTGCTGGGGAGTGGCTGACCATCACTGTTGATGGGAAGTAGAGAATAAATCATGTTATCTTTCGCTCCACTTTTGCATGCGCAAGCTTTTGCTTTGCTTCTGCTATAATAAACTGCCTTATCCCAAACCACGAGTTGTTTTCCATCTTACTCTCTTCCCTGTCTGGCTGGGAAGGGGGGTGATAGAGTGGATGGGTGGGCACCACCACACTGATCCAAAATGAGGATGAGCCACTGCCCACTGCATGAAAAAAAAAAAAAGAAAAAGAAAAATAGGAAGAAAAAAAAAGAGCTTGGCTCTTTAGCTTGATCATGTTGAGGAGAGAACGGACCAGATAAAGGCATTTGATACAATCACAGCTTCTTCAGATTGAGTGAGGGCCAAGAATTAGAATAAAAAACTGTGTCTATCATCTCCAGACAATGCATCTACACAGAATCAAGGTACAGGTCAGTGCAAGACAACAGCCCCCCTCTTACTGCACTCCTGCAGACACACACACACTGCAACTGCAAGATACACCTCCTCAGCAGTAATGTGCACCAGTGTAAGCTGAATGTGCTGTGCCATAGCCCACTGATCAATTCACCAAGGAAGCTGGGCAGTGGTGCACTGTGTCACATGCTATCACTGAGTTCTACAAATGCTATAAAAATGCCCAAAACTGTGACACCTTACTTTCATTTCAGAATTAGAAGAAAGGCAAAGAGTACTGCTTCAGTACAATCAACACCCCACTGAACACCTTAGAATCACAGAATATCTCAAGTTGGAACCTTGCTATTCACGTTTGCAATCAAACATAGACATGTCCGGTCTTTTAAAAACAGAACGTTGGGTTTTAGGGGATTTTTTAAACTGTCTTTGTGGTAACGAATCTTGGTCAAGCTTCAGTGTAAACACGACTTTTACAAACACCAAAGAGCAGACCACAGAACTGCCACTGATGATCATAATAACACTAAGGAGGATGTGGCCTTCAAAATCATGGTAAATCAAGCCAATGCAAGCAGAACTTGTAATGGAGAAACTGTGATAATTTTGAAATAAAGAGTGCAGTGGCACTGTTTCTCCTTGTTGATCTTTCCATCAGGACATCAAAAAGCACAATAATAAGGATGTTCATGGGGTTTTAAACCATTCCATGTTGTTGCTTTTTGCAACAAAACATAAAATACACTCATAGCACCTTGAGCGAGAAGACTGTCCTCTGGGAGACACAGGAGATAGGCAGCTGTTGTTGCGAGACACACAGCTGTTCTTTCTAAAAAGTTACAAAATAAGCTGAAAAACAAAAAATCTGGCATCAAAGTAGATGTTTACAAATACTACAAAACAAACAAAATAGTATGAAGCTGTGTCAGGGAAGGTTTAGGTTGGATAATAGGAAAAGGTTCTTCAACCAGAGAGTGGTCAGGCACTGGAACAGGATCCCCAGGGAAGTGTTCACAGCACCAAGGTTTCCAGAGTTCAAGTGTTTGGACAACACTTCAGGCACATGGTGTGATTCTGTGGGCTGTCCATTGTAGGGCTAGGAGTTGGACTTCAACAATCCTCGTGAGTCCCTTCCAACTCAGGATTATTCTATGATTCTTGAAAAGCATATTTTTTTGATATGAGTTTCTAATATCTGTAAAAAAAATAAAAACTAAAAAAACCCATTAGCTTACTTCTGATATCGTTTAGCTTTTTTTTCAAGCAAATGAAGTGGAACAACTCTTAGTCTTATTCTTTTACCAATAAGGCGAGAAAATCACAGAATCACGGAATATGCTGAGTTGGAAGGGGCCCACAAGGATCATCAAGTTCAACTCTTAGTCCTGCACAGGACCGTCCTCAAGAGTAAATGTCAGGGTTTACAAGAGCAAAATCAGTAGAAGGACTTGCTGAAAATTATCTTAAAATAGACATGATGAAATCAATTGTTGTGAAGAAAAGCACTTTACTAGTGATTTGCATAAGATCAGTGATGCCTCACGTGAGACACTGGGTTATTATATTAATTATTGGCTCGGATCAGCTCAAGTGTGTTTGCAGGGGGGGGGAAGGGATAGCTCGAATTTCACAGAGGTGAGGTAATGCCCTATCCCACACTCCAGTTGCTGAGTCTCAGAGGAAAACCCCACGGCAGCTGTCAGTCCAAAGCAATCCCAGGAGCACTGCTCCACACCACGGCCCCTGGAGCCCCTAACCCAGACTTAGATTGGCTCAGACAGCGGGAGCACCACCCCTCACCCTGCCCTGGAGCCCCACACTGGCCAAGCCAGAAGCCCCACCTGGGCAGGGTGGCCACAGGGGACCAGAGCAGATAAAAACAAAGACATGAGATCACACGTTCCACCCATCCATCTTGTAGACTCCTGTAGCTGGATCTACACTGGATCTAGAGATGGTAGCTATATTCTCTTTTTCTCTCTCTTTCTTTCTTTCTTCTTCATCTCCTAATCTCCTTTCTTAAAATTTTGGTAACTTAGGACTGGATGGGCTAGATTTTTGACAAGTTGTATGTGTTAGCATGTGCTAAGTCAATGCTTTGCAGAATGCCTTATTTTGGTTGTATGTTCCTCTTTAAACTTTTGCCAAGTTCCCTTATTTTCTAAAGTTTAGCACTAAAAGCACCTCCTGAGAAAATGTGTGCAATTTTTATCCTTTGTGCTCTCTCTTGAAGTGTTAAAAGAACCGATGGCTCCTCTAATAATCCAGAGGGTGGAAATTGTTGGGAGCCTTCTATATTTTTAAAGTAAACCCCCTTCAGTGACCTTGTAGCTCAAGACTTGGGGTCTTACAACTCATTTTCAAGAATGTTATAAGATCGTTTCTAGATTTCTTAAATGTATTTCATTGCTGACACCACTATGAATACCTAGATGCCACAACAGTAGAAACTGTTTATACCTAAAGGTACTTCCATTTATTGTTTATGTGGAAAGAATCAAAAGGGTATGTGGAAAGCAAACATGGGATAATCTGTTCATCATGACAGTTTCCCCAAACTTAATGGAAATTTGCTCAAAAACAGTCATTCCTCTTTTGACACGAAAATTTAAAACCTGTGGATCCATATGAAAGCATTAGTGTAATGTTGTCTACCTTTTACACATCCTAAAACACGACTGATTAAAAGAAATCTGACAAAGAAATCTGCTATTGGGTTGAGGAATGTAACATCAAACTTTAGCCTAAGGTCCATTTCAAAGCCAAGATGTTAATCCTTGGGTGCGGGAGGGGTGTTTGTGATGGTTTCTCAATTAGGACATTTGTGATGCAAGTGTCTTGTAACCTTCAAATTCCAGGAGGAGTGCCCTGCTGACTTGTCTGCTCCTACAAGTAAACAAAATTAACCCAATAGCCCATAGGGTAGCCCATAGCTTTGTTACTGCACTGGGTAAAAGTTAGTTGCTACAGTTCTGACTGAAGGGAGTTAACATTTTAATATTGTAAAACACAATAACAAGATAAAGAGAACACACTTCTATGACCTGTGACAGAAGAACTCAATAATGATCTCTGCCTTCCAGACATCAAGTCTTGTACCATATTTCTGAATTTTTCTTAAACAAAAACGCCAACAAAGCCCACTAGAAGTTGGCCAAATGAGCAACATATCTCAATTATGTTGCCCTCAGAGGGTAACTAAATGTAAAATCAAAGTACAAATGAACTACCAAGAGTAACTATTTCTGGAAGGGGCCCTCCACCTAGAATAAGAAAATAGAAACCAGTCACAAATTTAGAAAATGCCTTTTGAAATCAGATCCCCAGATAACAAACCACAGTTATTTAAATGGAACTCTCCTCTCCCCGGCTTGGTTTTTATCTTATCCTTCACGTCCCTCCCAGTCCAAGCGTATTTCTCTTCTGTTGGCTGTCAAGGTTGTCAAGAAGAGGGCCATGTGTTTTGCAGAGTTGCTGAAGTTGAGAAGATACATGCATTAAAGAGAGTTGAAGGTCAGAAAGGAGCATTAGATCATCATATCTGAATTCCTATAATATCACAGACTGTATAATTTATTAGACTTACCTTATTATTGAACCCAAACACTTACAGCTGATTGAAGAATAAATTCTGTTTTAGCTAAAACAATTGTTTCATGTCATACTTTCTTTTTCTGTACTAGATTAAAGAGCTCTCTAGAGCACCAGATATTTTCTCTCTGTGAAGGCATGCTGTAATTAAGTCATTTCTCAAACATCTTTTTGATAAGGTAAACAGACTGATCTTAAATATTTCACGGCAGGGCAATTTTCAAGCTCTTAAATCACTTTCATAATTGTTTCTGGCACCATCTCTAATTTTCAAAAAGGCTTGTTTTTAGATGTGGCCAGAAGAACTATGGGCTGAAATTGAGTCTGTTTACCAATGCAGTATAAAAAGATAAATTCACATATTTGCTGATATTTGGTTGCTTGTACATCCAGCACAGTCATTTATCTATTGCACAGCATACTGTATTTTCTCTTCTCAGAAAAAAATCACGCAAATTATAGGGTTTTTTTGTGACCAAATAGTGTAATGAAGTATGAGCAAAGCTTGGCAATAACAGGGAACTTTAACTATCTGGTCATCTTTCTGGAAAGGAGACAGCAAAACACATGCTATCCAGAAATGTGTCAGCAACCATTTTTTAGTAAAGAAACTGAGGAAAACATTCAAAGTAAAAATATTTTAGATTACACTTCAACCTTCAACTCACAGAAAACATGAAAATTTAGGGCAGCTTGGTTGAAATAAACCATAACATGAGAGAATTCCCATTTTAAAGGATGGGAAGGAAAAGGGAGACTAGGAGAATAAAGTCAATGGAGATTACAGAAAAGAACTTGTATAAATGAATTGGTGGTCAAGATCCTGTGAAATGTAACTGGAAGAGAAGTAGAAAGAGTTCAAGAGAGATCACAGTTCCATAAAGGAGTAACATTTAAGGCATAAGAGCAAACTAAGTCAACATTGAAAGAGGTTACATCATAAGCTCTTCAAGGACCTGCAACTTAAGGAAAGTACAGTCCATGAACGCAAGTAGGCAAAAGAGAAAAACATGACAGTACAGGGGGAAAATTCATTCATAAGAGCAAAAACAGAAAGTGAAACATAACTTTAAAAAATAGTAGCAAGAAAATGTTTTCCATTTCTTAATAGTAACAGGAAAATTCAAGAAAGGATCGACACATTTATTTGCAGAAGAATCAAAGACAAATATATTTTGCTTAGTGTTTGATATGAGACAAATACACAATCTGATAGATAAAATTAGTGACAAAAGGGACAAAAAAATTAACAGTATAGCAGAGCAACCAGACAAAGAGACACTTCAGTAAGTTAGATGCTGTCAGATGAGCTCAGCCTAACAAAGTTTATACTTAGGTTAGGTAAAAACATGATGTTGGCTTGTGCTGTGAGGCTAGCAGAAGAATGCCACACTCCAATGCCTCCAATGCCTGACTGCACTGAAATTTTGCTAATATGTCATTTATAGCAACTCCAAACCAAATCAGTGAAATTCTGAAAGTTTAAAATTATCTTTATTTTTGAAATTTATGTTTAATTCAAACCAGTGACCGAGGTTTCTGCCTCTTATTCCCACAAACAGCTGCATTGACTCAATAGGTAGGGACATTTAACTACACTGAAAGGGAATCCAAGAGAATTAATTGAAATTCTTTTAGAGGCATTAGAGACTTTTCATAATTTTGGAGAATAGATGGAGTTCCATCCAGAAAAATGAAAAGGGAAAAATCCAGTCCCTGTCATAAAAACGTGAAATAAAAGGAGGTAAGGAATGACAATTTTTTCAATTAGTTTCAGTTTCTGAAATAGTCTTGAGAAAAACAAGACCAAAAAGATTTTATTTTATTTTACAACAAGAAAATAAACACCTGTCAATAAAGTTGTGTCATGAGCAAAATATGGCAAGTCGATTAAATTTCTTCTTCAATAGAAAAATAGTTTGTTAATAGAAAAGAAGCCGTGGATGACACATAAAAAGAAGTGGATGACTCATAAAAAGAAGCAAAGGAAACAAAGACTAAATTAAACTATTTTATGGCTAATACAAAATGTGTTCAAAAATTTGATGTAGAGATTGGAGTCAAAGAAGGACACTATGAATGAGGCTCAACAGGGGTCCATCCTGGTCTGGTGCACTGATATTTTCTTTTATAACTTGGATGGTCAAAAGGTTATTCATATAGAAACTGTACTTTTAAAATTTTCAGACGATGCTAAGTTTGAGAGAGACAGAAAAACATTGGTTTTTGCTCCATGGGATATACCAAAAATAAGAGGAAATATATTTAAAGATGTACACATATTTTAATATTTTTGAAGAGTTATTAAACACCATGAGTCAGTTCTGAAGCAGCTGAACTCACAATTACACCAAACCCAGTTTAAAAAACATAGTCAATGCCATCTCACTCCAACCCCACTGACATGCAGAGGGACATCTTCAACTAGATCAATTTGCTCAGAGCTCTATCCAACTTGACCTTAAAAACTTCCAGGGGTGGGGCATCTACCACTTCTCTGGACAACCTGTGACAGTGTTTTACCACCACAATTGTAAAAACCTTCTCCCTTATATCTATAAATCGACCCTTTTAGTTTAAAACCATTACTCCTTGTCCTGCTATAACAGGCCCTGGTAAAAAGTCTGTCCCCATTTTTCTTGCAGGCCCTCTTTAAAAATTGAAGGCCACAATAAGGTCTCCCCAGAACCTTCCTTCTCCAGGTTGAACAACCCCAGGTCTCTCAGCTTTTTTCATAGCAGAAGTGTTCTGTTCCTTTGAAAATTTTTGAGCTGCGCTTCTTCTGTAGAGGTCCATGGTCTTACCTGTGTTAAGGACCCCAGAGCTCAACACTGTACTCCAGGTGGGGTCTCATGTATTCCCCATGGGACCACCAGATATGGCCCGGATGGCTGGCACTGAGTGCTGTGCCAGAACAGCCTGTAACAGCAGATATAACTACTGTAACTGTACTGAATTAACTGAGCAGCACCACTGGGGTATTAGAGACCCATGAGAAAAATGTGAGTTTGGACTGATGGACTGATGCCCATTTATTTGAGGCAGCATAGAATACGTTGGATAAACAGTGCTATTTGGTTTTTATGCAATGAGAACTGTTTGGTTAATGAATGACAACACGTGTTTGGTTAATAAAATAAAAAACTAGAAAATATACTTTTCAGGAATGTAGAAGCATAGAAAATTCAAAAAATATGCAAGTACACTTTAGTGAAGAATTTAGGTAAGGCATCTCAGAAGACAAGAATAAATACAAAAATTGATAATTTAAAAAGAAAAAAGCTACTGAGACCTAGACATATAATATTCATCATTCCTTACCACTGACGTAAAATAGTAGCAAAGTAAAACACCAGCTGCACTACAAAGTGAAGCTAAATGGCTTCCTATTTTCTTGAATATTGAATTAAATATGCTCTTTACCTTCTAAGATGAAATTGTTTCTTTTTATTTCCATAATCTGATTCTATCCTGATTATCTATTTGATCTTTACTAGATCATACAAAACAAGCAGAAGAAAAAAAATTTCCCAACACATAGGCTGTCAAAGTATTGAAAACAATTGCTTCTGGATTTCATATCCAGTGTTTTCCTAGACACTCCCCATTGTTCTGTCCATCTTTGATGCATATGTAGTGTGGTCAAGTTAATGCTGTTATTGAAACCTAGAATTTTGCATTTCTCAAATTCAGCCCAAACACTGCTGATGACATATAGGGGGGTTTTGCATTTAATTTCCCAGGTTCCTTTTAGGGAAAAAAAAGGAAAAAGTCCTTAAGGCAATATAAGCACTTAATCCAACTCAAATACTAAAGAGGACATAACCTTTTAAATCATCTTAAATATTTACGATGCCATAAGCTCTTAAACTTCCTGGAATACTTAGCCTTCCTTAAAACCTCACAGTACTCAAAAGTCCCTAGAGCAACGTAAGCACCTAAACTGCTTCAAATCCTTTCAAAGGACACAACCTTTAAACCAACGTTCAGGGTCTAATTTTTAGAAATATTGTTGTTTCTTCAGGCACAATTCTGCTTGGTTTTGTCCACAAGTCATGTAACTATTCAAGTACTATTCACATGCTTCCCTTGACACAATGCTTCCATCTGATTTAAGTCCTTTGCATGGTATATGTAAAGCACTTCGCCAATACTGGGAAAGTCAACACAATGGAAAAGATTCCCTAAACCTGTCCAGCATTCAACTTCACTGAAAGAATAACAAACACAAGACAGTTACCAAAGCTTTCACAGCAGCTTGTTCATATCTTTACACGTCTGACAATGAATCAAATCAAGTTCATAATATTTCACCATTAACTTAGAGTAGCAGTCAAGAAATTGCAAAATTGACATCTGCAATGACAGCAGTAAATGTGATCTCTGGGTCAGAACCCAGCAATAACTATTAAGAATACAGCCAGAATACAAGCCACATTTAAGAAGTACTCAATTAATATGTACACAACCACACATTACTTCAGGACTTTAATTCATCAGGATGATGTCACTTCTCTGTTCATTTTCAAACCTAATTTATCTTTTTAACAACTGTGTGATGAACTTAAGTTGCTCTGTGTCCTTCCTCCATAACTCTTTTAGATAAGCCTAGAGTGAGCAGAAAAACATTTCAAAGTACAGCAACCTTACACACACAAGTTTGAAAAGCAAAGGTCCTTCTCTTTCCAGAATTTCCTGGTTCGGGCTTTCAGTGTTTCCTGTAACCTAGGAAAGGAATTGTCTGTGTTTCATTCTAAAGGATGTCACTTTTGATTGCAGGAGTGAGCGGAGCATTAAGTGAAACATTAGTGCCAATGATGCTCTCAAGCAATTGAGAAAAATTACAAACACTTTGGGTTTTCCAATTTTGAAATTCACATGACAAACAGTAAACAGTAGGTCAGAGTCATGTTGCTGGTCCATAGGAAGTAAATAAAGATATCCATCTTCAGAGTACACTTAAAAATTCACATTTGCCAGACTTCTGCAT